AGCTGACAATTTAAAATTTAATTTTCATAAATTAAAGCGACAGCTAACCATGTCCACAAGCACGAGACGAGACAAAAGGCAGCAATGGTGCACAATATTTTTCTTTGTTCTATATCACTCAACAAAAGATGGAAGAATGAATACTATAAATATTTAAGCCAAATGGTATTTTCCACTCAATATGTAGTGTTTTTCTGCATTACCAACATAATGTTCATTCAACTCCCAAAAGCAATCGATGGATAAAACTCCCAGGGATAAATTATGTAAGTCTTATATTCATTATAATACAACTTTTGGAGTTTAGATTTATGTATCTTATGCTGTATGAAGTCTTGTAAATAGTGATCATGTACATGCTTATAAATTATAAGCAATTGAAAGCTATCTATTATATTATATTATATTATATTATATTATATTATATTATATTATATTATATTATATTATATTATATTATATTATATTATATTATATTATATTATATTATATTATATTATATTATATTATATTATATTATATTATATTATATTATATTATATTATATTATATTATATTATATTATATTATATTATATTATATTATTCAGAAACATCTCAATCACAGTTTCCTTTTACTACTTTTCTTCACGTGCAAGGAAAATAAATGTATTCTCTAACATGAATTTTACAAAATAATAAATTTACGAAAAGTGATAACTTACAATGATAACAATTGTTTGGATCTCATGTCAAATTACACTTTTCGTCCATCCAGCTTTATCTTTTTAAAATTACACTTTTCGTTTTTCTCTTTACTCGTACCTTTTGTATATGCACTTAACATTGTGATAACTAATATGCACATTGTAAATATATTATACAACTACAAGCACTTAACTTCTATTTAAAAACTATGAAGTGTAATGGTTGTTTATCTTATTTTTTAATTATGTGAGTCGAATCCGATCTCTATTCATAAGAATAAGAAATATTTTATGATCAATCATTTATTTTTAGCAGAACACTTACGAAGAAGAAAAAGGCACGGTTACTGATAGTAGATACCCTAGTTTTGACAAAAACAAGAAAATTTTGTGCTAGGGGCTGAGATGGAATTAAAAAATCGGGGGAGGGGGGAATTTGAAAATTGTGTTAAAAAAACTTAAATTAAGTTTTTGGAATTTAAGATGTACTAAATGTGATATTCTACCATTAAACACAAAGGTTTAAATATTAATATAGACAAATTTGTAGCTAGAGATATAGACCAAGGGAGACTGTGATTGGTTATCTCTAAAAAAAATTTAATTCTCATATAATTAAAGTTTTTTTTTTTACATTTTCTATTATAATATATTTTATTTTCCTAAAATTTTATAAATTCTTCATCTAAAATTTTATAAATTTATTTTTCTATAGATAAAATAATATGTTTATCCTTATTTAGTCCCTAAATAAGATACGAAGAAAAAAGGTGCGAAGGAGTATTATGCCACATCTTTGTGCAGCTTCAAATGAATTGATTGTAGTGACTATATAAAGCGCTGGCTTTTGCGTTGTGTGTTTAGAAATTGGAAGTGCGTGCAAGCTCTTTCACTACACCATTTGCTTATAAGTTTCGCAACGCTTCTTTCTTCTTCTTCATGATTTGCTTATAAGCTTCTTCAAGTCGCCGTCGTCTTCTTCTTACTATTATTTTCTTGTTCTCTAATCTAATGGAAACCAAAGGTTATACCCAAGACGGAGCTGTGGATCTTCGCGGCCGGCCCGTGCTTGCCCCCAAACTGGGAAATGGAAAGCCTGTGCTTTCCTCGTTGGTAATAAACTATCACCTTTTCCTTTACTACTTGAAGACACTTCTTTTATCGCTCAAGTCCTTATATATATATATATATATATAATTATGATCCACTTATATAATGTAATTTTTTTTTAATTTTAGACAGATTTCATATTATTGTACAAGTGAAAATAGTGTCTAGAATAACTCATACTTTTTTCCAATGAATATCTCCTTATTTTCTATTGTAAATCTCAACAGTCTATTTTCATTTATAAAAAAATTAATTTGTGTAAAATTTTCATTCATAAAAAATTTTAAATTTGTGTAAAATAATATATATATATATACCGTGCTTCAAGTCTAATACATAATCTGAAGAATGAACATGATATGAAGCATTTGAAAGGATGGCTTTCTATGGAATAGCTTCAAACTTAGTGAACCACTTGACCACACAACACCTTTCATCAGTTAGAAATGTGAATATCTGGTCAGGATCGGTCTGGATTACACCAATTCTGGGAGCATTCATCGCAAATACTTACATGGGCTGATTCTCTCTATCATGTATCTTTCTAAACCAAGCTTTTATTTATCCAGAAACCGATGTAGGATTTTATATTAGAGAACAAACTTATAAAATTTTTAAGAGATAAAAATATATTATCAATAGAAAAACCATCATCCGCCTCTCCCTGTGTACATCAACATACTATTCATTATATTGCAAATGTAATCTGAATAACTGGTGATGATTAAAACCTGTATTGAAAGGCAATCTAAAAAGTAACATAAATCCAAAATGTATATTTCAAATGATGGGTGTTTATATTCACTATCTTCAACCACCAAGGAAAAAAAATTAGATGACCCTTATTCTCATATGTAATGAGGTAAGGGGGAGGTATGATAGTAGGCTGCCCCCAATACCAGGTTGAGAGCAGCTTCCGTGGGAGACATCCGAATTATGAATTATCAACCGTGGGACTCAATCCCACGACCCCAATATTAAGAGCCTTGTACTCTACCAACTGAACTGGACAGACAATTCCTCAACCACCAAAGAGGTAATACCAATTGTTTGGACCATATTTGTAGATAACTACCATCAAAAGGCAAATAGGGTTTAATAATTTTTTTTGTTTTGGCTATGGTGGGTCCACTGAATGATGCTAAGATTTGATTTAGTGGACTTAATTAACATGGACATTACTTTACATTTTGCTATGACACAGAGCATATTTTATTTTCATTAGGCCCACAAAGAAGATGCCATCTACATTGGGAAACTATTATGTTCTATTGTTTTAAATTCATTAAATACCACTCCACAAAGAAGTTCTTGATTTGACTTGCAGTGCTATTTGAACAAATGAATGGTACATTTTTTCTATCCTTAAACTTGTGTACATGTAATGTAATATGTTATGTTGACGTCGATGGTAATTTAGAGTGATAATAAGATTATATCTATTTAATTTTTTTTAATTTTAAACAATACACTCCCTATAAATACAGCTACTCGAACATGAAATCTAACACTCTCTTTTACCACTGAAGTTTAATAAGTTCAACATTAAATGAGTTTTAATTTGATTGATATGTGATTGTATTCGAATAACCGGGGTGACACGTGAATCAGGGAATGATAATGTTGACAACAGCAGTTTCATTGAAGTCTTTGAAGCCAACTTGCAGAGAAGGTGTTTGTAACAAGGCGTCAACGCTACAAGTTGTCTTCTTCTACACATCACTTTACACCATATCCATTGGAGCAGGGGGAACAAAGCCCAACATATCAACCTTTTCGGCAGACCAATTTGATGATTTCAATCCCCATGAAAAGAAGCTCAAGGCCTCATTCTTCAATTGGTGAATGTTCAGCTCTTTCTTGGGTGCCTTGTTTGCCACTCTTGGCCTTGTTTACATTCAAGAAAACTTGGATTGGGGACTTTGCTATGGGATCCCAGCAGTTGGCCTTTTGTGCTCCCTATTTGTGTTCTATTTTGGGACCCCAATGTACAGACACAAAGTAAAGAAGACTAAAAGCCCTGCCTGGGACCTTATTCAAGTCTCCATTGCCGCCTTTCAGAATCGGAAACTTCAGCTCCCTAACAACCCATCTCAGCTTCATGAACTTGAGCCTCAGGATTACATCAGCAGTGGAAAAAGACAAGTGTAATACACTCCAATTTTCAGGTTCTTGGACAAGGCTGCAGTCAAAGATGGGAACTCAAGTAGCCCACCTTGCACTGTAACTCAAGTGGAAGGAACCAAACTTGTCCTCGGTATGCTTTTAATATGGCTAGTGACCTTAATACCTAGCACCATATGGGCTCAAATACAATCTGTTTGTGAAACAAGGCACCACCATGGACAGAAGCATAGGTTCAAGCTTCCAAATCCCAGCAGCTTCACTAGGGAGCTTTGTCACCCTCTCCATGCTCATCTCCGTGCCATTGTACGACCTCCATTTCGTGCCATTCATGCGTCAAAGAACCGGAAACCCTAGAGGGATAACCCTCCTTCAAAGGCTTGGCATTGGATTCGTCATCCAGATCATTGCCATTGCTATTGCATATGCTGTCGAGGTTCAAAGGCTGCATGTCATAAGAGTGCACCAAATCACAGGGCCTAAAGAAATAGTTCCCATGAACATATTCTACCTTTTACCTCAGTATGTTTTGATGGGGATTGCTGATGTGTTCAATGCCATTGGACTGCTGGAATTCTTCTACGACCAATCACCAGAAGACATGCAAAGCTTGGGGACGACCTTTTTCACCAGTGGTAACAGAATCGGGAACTTTTTGAACAGCTTTTTAGTAACAATGGTGGATAAAATTACAAGCAGAGGTAATAACAAAAGCTGGATTGGAGACAACTTGAATGACTCTCATCTAGATTACTACTATGGATTCCTTTTGGTCATATCAACCCTTAACTTAGGGGCCTTCCTTTGGGCATCAAGCAAATATGCCTACGAAAGGGAAACCAAAGAAGTCAATGAGGGTTGTATTGAAATGGATAGTAAAGCCTTAGAGAAATATCCAATAGGACTACAAGTATAAACAGATAAATATATACATAGATATATTAAAAAATGATGGTATATGAGATCATGTTATACCCTTTTGTATGATATGTGCATCAATTAATGTTTTCACCTTCTATTTTAAAGAGGAAAGTGTGTGTGCATGTATCATAACAAATGCAAACTATATATAGAGAACAATAATTTGAAGAATGAAGACAATTCAAAACACTACTCTTGATTGATGATTCTCTCCAATACAATACAATAGGAAGTGGGTTTAACTGCTAAGGGAAGATTTATCTAATTCCAAAACTGAGATCATTGGTTTTGTAATGACTCTTAATGTACAAGATCTTGTGAAGGTTTGATGTACAGAATCCGTACAAATGTAACCCTCCAAAGCAACATAATGTTGTGCATTTCTCATTTCATCCTTGCCGTTTCATAGAAGTGCAGATCCTCCGTTTAGCTGATAGTCGAGGCCTCAACTGCACAGGATGTGAAATGTAACACTACAAGGTTCAAAACTATCCTGAATTCATATAAAGTTACTATGCAAGAATCTCGAGTGCTTTGATTCTAGAGATTAAGGCAAGCCCAAAACAACGTAAATAATGAATTAATAACCACATAATCATATAATAGTTGTCCAAGAAATTTGATTCAATAAAATTACATTTTATTCCACCCTGAGATTTTGTTTCACCCCTCCGACCACTAGAAGCCTTTTATCTGGAAATACCATAAATAATTAATAAAATACAGATCCTTTGTGTGTCTTTGAATCTGATGCCAAGGAAACAATCTAACTTGTTGCAGGAGTTTCTTTCTTTTTTTTTTCTTCTTTCTCTTTGAAAAGAGAACATATTTGGTAATGGCATAATGTCAAAATTAGCCCCCAATGTTTATCAAAATGGTCATGTTGGCGCCTATTCTTTTTTTGGAGCATTTTGACCCCAATGTTACAATTTAGGGCAAAAAGGCTTATAACGTTTGACTGAATGGTCACTTTGAGCCCTATTTTTTTCTGAAGCATTTTGCCTCTCAACATTTCATTTTAGAGTACAAAGGACCCCATTTTGAAGCGTTAACCTTTTGTTAACTAACGGTACACGAGGGGACTTTTTGCCCCAAAATACAAACATTGGAGGCCAAAATGTTCCAAAATAAAGAATAGGAGGCAAAACAACCATTTTGGTAAATGTTGGGGGTTAATTTTGGTGTTATGCCTTTGGCATTTCATACAGTTAACAATATTCGTACTTCCATGGAGTTTTATGGTTCATATTGAGTAGTTTTAGTTCTTATTTCTTTAGGCACTTTCAGCCTAAAATCAAGTAGTAATAGGTCAAAAAGCTAAATTCGGATTACAAGGAAACAAAAAACAAAAGGAATAGTAACAAACGTGGCAATAAGCAACCCAAACTCAAAACTTACCAGATGATGGCATCAATTCTACTTGATGAATCTTTCAACTTTCAATTATTCTTTTGGCAGAAAGAAAATTATGAGCCTAAAACAGAAAAGAATTTCATCCCTTTCAACCAGAAGCCCGGTTTTGGAGGTTCTGTATTCAGCACATCTAATAGTATAGGATATATAAATTCCATGTTCTATACTAAATAGCTCTTCTTTGTTTCGACAAATTTGCTTATGCAAGAATGTATAACTTTAAATTTGGGATCATGTTAATTTATAGTAGCCCAAGTTGCAAACAAAGTTCAAGGCTTCTTTAAGCCTCCTTCCATTCATTATTTGATATTAAGATATCGAGTACAACAAAAACCAAACTGCACACAGTAATTAGTGAAGATAACAAAATGAGTGCATTGGTTCATACCAGCTCAATATACTTGAGTTGCTTCAAAATTTGATCAGTTTCAAGCTCCTGATAAAATAAATGCAGCAACAGTTTGATTAGAGTACAATTTATGTCATACTTATGACAGACTAAAATTGAATTTTACATATCAAAAGAAATTCAATTTTATTCTCGAGTTGTATTTTCATGATAAAAGAGCCAGAGAATAGGAAGCAAATACTATTGTTGTAGAACCTTGAACAGGTAATCAGCATGATAAAAAGAGGAGAGGAAAAAGGTGGATGTGGTCAATATGCCATAAAACCTTATAGTGGCAGCTGGTTCTTTAGATAAAACTACCACTTATATGACACCGCAAGTTCTGTTTTGGACAAATTGATGAACTGTAACCAATAATTTTTCTTCTCTAAAGATTGCATAGCTTTGTTAAGCAGCTTGAGTCTTAAATTGACATCCACGTTAAAAAGTATATACTTCCATTAAATTAGTTGCAAATTGATGACACTGAACAACATCACCCCAAATTTCAGCATCCAATGAAAGATATGATTAATCCCAGACCTAGACTAGTCTTCCAGATTAGAAAGAACAAAATAAAATTCTAAACTGATTATTGCTCCATGAAGATGTCCCATGTTAATTACAAATTCCAAAACCTAAGTCAGGTGCCATAACCTGAAAGATTGCAATCCAGAAAAACGACATCGGAGAAAATAAAGATGTTAAAAGGCTTATCACCTGAGGTACAGAACAATCTGCATGGGATGGATCCCAATGCACAGAGCAGAAGCACTCCCAATCATTGGTTTGGACTTCAAAAAGCGGAGCCCTAGAAAGCAAGAACTTAGAACTTAAGAATCTTGCATGATTGATACAAGAATCAAAAGAACACCAAGAAAGAGACTTTAAACTTATAGGTATGTTAAGTTACTAGAAATGGAGTCTTAAATAACAATAGCTCATCTAGGTAATGTTTAGTACCTAGTTAGAACGGACTTCCTCCAGCTCTTAAGAACAATTTAATCATCCTTATCCACAATTATCATTATCAATAATATCTTAGGCGCACAGAGTTCACCAATCATCGGATAAAAAAATGAGCTATGCTGAACTTTCATCTCAATTTTCAAAATTTTGCATGAAAAACAATATCCCCTACAATCCATAAACCATTAAGCATACAATAATGAAAAAGGATAGTGAAATATGACATGTACTCTCGTTTGTATTCTCTTTAAGTTCATTCTTTGTAATTTGACAATTCTGAACTGAATTCTTCCAGCTTTTCAAAACAATTTAAAGATCTTTATCTACAATTATCATTATCAACAATATCTTAGGCATGTAGCATCGACCAGTTATCTCCTCAATTTTCAAATTTACTACAAGAAACAATTTCATCTACTAAACGTTAAGCACACAATAAGTGAAAGGAGGGTGATATGTGACAGATATCCTTGTTATTGTTTGTCGTTTGCTACTAGAGGATCAACAGTAACGTAATGTAACATGTTTTGTTTGAGATATGGGTCCTTTTGTTCAGCATTCAAACTTTTAGACATAAAGAACTGATATCATTTTAAGTTTTAAAAATAAACATCCACTAGTTAATCATAAATAAACTGATTACGATAACCTAGAAATAAGTGCCATGAGTTTTAGAAAATATCGACTTTGTACTAACATAAATGGAAAGAAAGAAGAAAAATATCAAAGCAAGTAGACTATACCTGTGCCACTTTCCGCAGATGGTTCCTTTACTGCCTCCTACAGCTTCTATGAAGTCTCTGCATTGAAGCCAGTTCCCTATTGAGCTTACTTTAGATGACTTGTTGCAATTCATTTCCTATGAAGAAAGATTTGTCAATTCTCCTCAAACCAAATTGCCACTTGTCTGCAAAATGGCAACACTAACCATGACAGAAATCAAAGCCTTACATGTAAATCAGTAAATTCTGAAATATCCAAGTTTAGTGGTTCACCAATGGTATCAACATCACTGCATCATATAAAAAGAAGGTATTTATGAAAGACAACACTTGTGGATTAAGAAAGCACACAATAGCACCTAATTTTTTTCCCAAAAAGATTTAACTTTCCCTAAGCTGAACTATTTATGAAGGACAACACCTGTGGATTAAGAAAGCACATTTTTTTCCAAAAAGATTAACTTTTCCTAAGCTGAACTATTTATGAAGGACAATACTTGTGGATCAAGAAAGCACACAATGGCTCCTATTTCCCCCCGAAAAGACTAACTTTTCCTAAGCTGAAAATTATCAGTTCTATTTTGCCCAAGAATTATGAGACGTGGGGACTCCAAAACAAAGTGGTAGCTAAAGCAGACCCCTTCCAATTAGAATAAACTGTTAACTCATTAAAATAACATAGGCACTTATAGAACATCTCAGCCATGGAAGGTAAATGAGAAAACTCGACTACATATCTATATATTAAAAGGGACACCATAACAGTTTCTGACTAAATATCATAAATTGAAAATCTAAATTCTTACTTCTTCAGTAAAAAAGGCACTTGAGCAAGATCACATCAACATAGTGATAATCAGTTCTGAAATAAAAGGCGGAATTTCTTTTGCCATTGTTGCATGCAACCTTAAACAATTAGACTGCAACATGACAAGCAATCAATGAAATCCTATCAGTGTAATGAAAAGAAAGATGATTGGCATCATCGCTTTCTTCAAGGTTGATGCAATTAGCCTGCTCCTAAAGTCAAATTTCTTTAATCTCTTTCCCGTATAACTTATCTAGCCTTCCAAATTTTGGCTTCTCTCTAGCTCAAGGCAGAACTTGTACCTAGGACCTTTCTTACAAAAAATGATAAAATTGTTCATAATCATTAATCAATATAACTTCTTAGCAATCTCTCCTTAGTTCTTAAGCTCCTCATATCTAAAAGCATCAAACAGTACTTTCGACTGCATTGTTTCAGACAGATTTTCATCTGTCACAGAGGGAAGCCTAGGTAAAAGTATTTGGGAACATGACAACATAAATACAACCTCAAATAGAGAAGTGCATCATTCATATCTATGTTCTGGTATGCACACAATTAGAAAGCATCTAAATGATTGCAATCCATATAAACAATTAACTTAAAAATAAATAGTTCATGGAACATACTTATCAATTGGACCAGAACATTCAGGAAGTTCTGCTTGAAAACCTTTTCCAATTCGGACACTAATTCTATAAGGCTCAGCATCTCCCAACATTAATTCTATTGGACTGACTTCCCATTTAGTTGATACATCTCTGTCTCTACCCATTCCACCAGTGATACTAAAAGGCCTTCTTGCAATTATCTCCTTGAGCATTATCCGCTTCTTTTTCATACACAAAATACAATACCACTCATCAACAGGTATTTTCTTTACCTTGGGATTGCAGCAACGCATATGAAATGCCTCTTCACAACTGTCACAGATTAGCATCTTTTGTGCTGTTCCTGAACGGCCACAAATATTGCATAACCTGGAACACCTACTACCACTTCTATTCAAAATTTCCTCATTAGCACAAGCCCTATATATCCCAACTTCCTCAACATTCTTCTTCTGAAGTACAGGGAGCCACTTACCTTTCTCAAATAGATCTACCCTCACAACTTCGGCAGCTATTATACTAGAGGAAGTGCACTCAGCATTTTCATCCACCTCACCTTTCGTAGAAGCAAGTAAAAGATTCAGAGTTGACTTTGACGATGAACAGCTATCATTTATACTGTCAACATCTATAGTTTTCTGCATAACGGTTTTATGTACATCATCAAAACTATGGTCATTCAAACCCGAACATCCATTAGCAAATTCATATTTTAAACTGAGAGGTTCTCTATTGCATACAAGAGGCATCACAGTATCTCCCACAGCTACATTTCTATATTCAACATGAGAAACTCCATTTCGCTCCAATGTTGCCACTGAAAGAGCACCCGAACTGACAACAGAGAGGCAATCCCCACTTCTATTTGAATTCACTAGGGCCTCTGCACAACAGTTGGCAACAGAAGCACTACCATTGTCAATGCTGCCTTGTCGTTTCTTCCTCCTACTGAAAACAAAAACAGGGACAGGGATTTCGGACAGAAAACTCACAGATGACAGTTGAGAACCAGATCTTGGTAACGGAGGGCATGAGCCCTCAGCCACTTTGCATCCACTCAGAAGAAAAGTATCATCACATCTAGAAGGCATCTGCCAAATTTTTATTACCAGGCATCCAATCACATAAAGAATCTTTGTTTCCCAAGGTTAGAAACATAAACTAGGCAGGCTTCAACTGAAGTCTCCATCAACAATTCACTTTATATATTCAACAACAACAATCTGGGTATTTTCCTAAGCACTCTCAAATTACTTTCACTAATCAAGAAACCCCCACTCTTTATTCCATTTCAACCTTCCTAGTCAATTCCAAAGATATTTTCAGCAAACTACTATACAAGAGAAATATACCCAATTGGAAGAAAGTAGAGGTGAGAATTTTGCATACCCTTTTCGCAAATAAACCATAAAAGTAACTCCGCTTTTGCATTATCAAGCCGTGAACATCTTTTTAGCAAGAACAGAATAATGAAGGGAATTCAAAAGATCAAACCTGGCATAACTGTTGTAAACCGAATCGTTGAGGCAGAATCTGAAGAGGGCAATGGGTTTTGGTGTTTGTGATCCGGTTGACGGTGGCTTTTGAACGCGGTCAAATGTCATTTGGGCCTTGTTGATTTTGAATTTTAAACTTGTTTGAAATTCAAACTTTTGAGCTTAAAAAGCCCTCTTGAAAAGATGAAAACATAAACCTAACAAAGTTATAATTATTTGATGAGTCAAATTAAGTAAAAAAATTGAATTAGTCTAGTTGGTGAATTCAATTTTATAATTTTAACTTTATCTGAAATTTTTTTATGTTAAGTTGAGTTTAAAATTTGAGTCGAGATGAGTTATTTGAGTTTTTGTTTAAATTTAATTATAAATATTTATAATAAAAAAAATGATTCAACTCGAACTTGAAAATTATTAATTAATTACTAAAACTTTCAAGTTATTCGAGTTATACACTTGAATTTTATAAATCAAACTTTATTTAAAAAATTCAAGTTGAATCAAATTTTTAAAATTACTACTCAAGTCAAATTTATAAAATTACTAGTTGAGTCAATTTTTTTAACATCAAATTGAATAAATAAAAAATCAATTTTTCCAATCGAACTTTACTTATCCTAAACCTAACTTTCTTTATTGATTTGATAAAAAAATTAACATGTATAAAATATGATATATAATTATCAAATCATTAAGGCTTAATGTAAAAATAAGTACTTAAATATACTTAAAGTTAAATTTAGGCGCCTAAAGAAATTTTTATTAAAAATAAGTGTCTAATATTTCAGACGTTACACTTTTAGGTGTATGCAGTTAAATTCGAAGGTCGTTAAGTCACAAATATAAGGCTAATAAAAATTTAAAAATTTTATTTTAAAATAAAAAAATATTTTATTTATGAAAAACCCCAAAATTCTCTTAAATCTAAAAAGAACCCAAAACTCTAAAAAAACCCAAATTCCAAACTCCTTTACTCACATTAGTCGTCGTCTGTGTTACCTTGGTCGTCACCCTTTTTCCTCAGCACTTCATATAATCAGATTTCAACGCATGGTGGGAGAAATCATCGATTGAATTGTTGGAATCATCGGCCTTAGCCGGAATCAATAAGTCGATGTAATCACCCATTTTTGTTGCAATCGTCGCTTGAATCATTGGGGTTCAGTCGTTGGGTGTTCATATGGTCAGGCGTCGTCGATATTTTGGCTGATTGGCGGTTATTATAACGACTAGTGATGATGAAGTGGTTGAAATTAGAGTTTTTTATAATTTATAAAAAATAGTTTTTTAAATAATGATTTTAAGTGTTTTTAAAATAAAAAAGCTTTGAAATTTTATATGATTGACATGTATCAGAAAACGATCAAATTTAACGGTGGTTACGATCTAGACACCTAAAAGTGTAACGTTGGAAACGTTAAGTACCTATTTCTAGCAAGAAATTCTTTAAGCACCTAAAGTTAACTTGAAGTACCTAAAGTTAACTTTAAGTATAGCATGGACACTTACTTTAGCCAATTATTGAAATTTTAATCATTAAAAAATTAAAAAATATGTAATAACTACCTCAAAATTAAGGTTTAGGATTCAAAATACACTCTATTTTTTTTAAAAAAATTAATATTTCAACATTATTTTTTTATTAATATCGGATAATTACAAGTGATAGTATTTTTTTAAAGAGTCTCAATTATATGATAATGAATACTCAAATACCTTACATTTGTTGGATCTCAAACCCAATATCTCTAAAGATAACAATAATCTATTTAATCATTAAGGTCGATTGGTTCATATGCATTAGTTTCTTTATTAAATTGGAACTTTTTATTGAAGAATTATATTAATTATTTTTTTCAAAATCGACCCTTAGTTGTAATATCTTTTAGCTATTTAACTAATTGGAACTTTTACTGAAGAATTATATCAATTAATTTTTTTTTTCAAAATCGACCCTTAGTTGTAATATTTTTTAGCTATTTGTGTCGCATGATATTCCCATGGGTTTGCAACATAGAAGATCCATATTTTAAAAAAATTAGAAACTTATAAAATAAAAATTATTTTTTTTCATGGTACGTTGGTGGATATTACATTCCAAGTCAATTGTTCAGTTTGATCATGCAATGTGTTTCGACTATGTCTACGTAGATTTTTTAGAATGGCGACCACTCGAAATCATCTACTCTTACACGGGAAATTCGACAGGGTGATCCGTTTTTACCTTGCTTATTTGTAGTATGTATGAAACGAATCGCACAGGTCATCCAGGCTGTTATCGTCAATTGGGATTGGACACCTTTTTAGACAAGCAAACGGAGTCTAGGCATTTCTCACATGTTCTTTGTCGATGATATGCTTCTCTTTGCTAAGGAGTCGATGGAAAAATGTGAGGTAGTTCGACATGGGTTGGATCATTTTTGTAAGGTGTCTAGTCACAAGGCTAGCTTAACCAAAACGACGATATTCTACTCTAAAAATGTCCCCGCCCACTCACGTTTCGAATAAGCAGAGCTTTCAGATTTCAGGAGGTTAATGATTTAGGGCGATACTTGGGTGTTCCATTGCTACACAATCGTGTTACATCGAATTCGTATACTTACTTGATTCGGATGGTTCAGAATAAATTATCTGATTGGGCAGCGAAAACCTTACTCTTACGAAATGAATTACTTTAGCAAAAGCAATCCTAGTTGTTCTCCTGATTTATACCATGCAAATGGTTGTTCTGCATAAAAAATGTGTACGAAACTAAAACATTTGATTAAATCACTACAGCAAAAGTGTTCTGTAGCGGCGTTTGGAGAGTAAACGCCACAATATTTTGGTATATAGCGGCGTTTATAATTCGAACGCCGCCAAATGATACTTTAGCGGCGTTTTTCCAACAAACGCCGCAATAGAGTGGTAATTTAGCGGCGTTTATGGCACAAACTGGTATAGAGTTATTTATAGTGCTGTTTTATCAACAAACGTCGCAAAAGATTAGTCATTTAGCGGCGTTTTTCTAAAAGCGCCGCTATAGAGTAGTAATAGTGTAGCGTTTTTTTATAAACGCCGCAATATGGTTGTTTATAGTGGCGATTTTAAAAATGCTGCAATATGCTTCATCAATATGTGATACTTTAGAGGCGTTTTTCAAAAACATGACGCAATAGAGAAGAATTTTGTAGCGTTTTAGGCCAAACGCCGCAATATAGTGATAATTTAACGGCGTTTATACCACAAACGCCGCAATAGAATGATAAAGTAGCGGCGTTTATATCTCAAATGTCGTAACAAATAATGCTTTAGCGTCATTTTTAGACAAATGCCACAATAGTGTTACTCAATAGTGGTTTTTTTTGTATAAACGCCGTAAAAAATATGTGATATAGTGGCCTTTTTTTAAAAACGCCGCAAAATGTTAAATATATGTGCCTCCCTTTTCTCCTACTCGAACCCTAAAATCATTTCAACTCTTCTTCCCTCAAAGCTTCTTCTTTGGTACAACAACAGGATGAGCACGATTCCAAGCATCGTCGTCTTTTGAATGTCCCGGCGATCAAATCGGTCCTCTGACCGACGAACTATAACACAATTGCACGGTTTGATCCCTCTTATCACTAATGATATTTTTCATTTTTGTTTTTGTTGGTATTCTGAAAATGGGGAAAACCCATAAAGCTAACGTATTGGAGAAAAAAAGGAGCAGGTGTTGCATTGAGTAAGAGAAATTATCGTAGGAATGTCTACGTGGCGTATTTTCTCTGACGATTGATCAAATTATCATTGGGAGGTTATCGGTCCGGTCTCGTCGTCGAAACTCGATGATGAGCCGAAAGGAACTTCTATTGCTCCATACTCTTCCATGGTCGATCTCCTAGTTGAAGGTAATAATCTATAAATCTTTAAGCTGCTATATATACTCTACGGTCACTAAAATTTCATAGATCATACGCATGTAGGATCTTCAAAGCTTATTGAGAACGATGATAGAGGAGTGGATAAATGCCCGATGTTTAGAACCGAATTTGGTAACTCTGTGGCGTTGAAAGAATATTCAATTGCAAAAGCAGTATCTATCCTCAATGAAGACGACGTTGCCTCAACTGTTACTCCAAGTAAACGTTTATATCATCTATTTAAATTTAATTTAATGTTTGATTCAGTTCCCAAGCCAACTCCAATCAAGTTTCATAGTGTAGGTGGAAGGTCGTTATTTGTTTCAAGTAAAGCACTGAAGCGCGCAAAGAGTCTTCTTGGTGAACTGGAGGTTGGGGATTTATTTGGTGAAATGGATGAAGAGTTTCTCCATATGGAGTTTACAGGGAAGAAAAACTTAACGATGCGTCGTCAAACAAGGAAAACAATTTTCCTACGTCATTTCCCCAAGAAGGAGCACAACTAAATATATTCTAGTGAATAATATGATGAAAAAACAGTTTATGCATAACTTTAATGTTTCTAAATTTTATTATATTGCCTCTACTGTTAAGTATATTGATGCATAACTTATGACTTAATTGAAATGTATGGTTGTTGGTAATTAGGTTAAACAAAAAGAGGAGTAAATTTATGTTATGTAGAGCATAAATTAAATATTTATAAAATGTTAATCTTATATAAATCAATGTATTTAGCAGCATTTGTATAAAAAATGTAGAGTACAAATGAAATATGTAAAATCATTTAATTTTATCTAAATAAAGGTAATTAGTGGCATTTATATCCACAAACGTCGCAATAGATTAGCATTGTAGAGGCGTTTTAATACAAACGCCACAAAAGAGTTAGACATTAGTGGCGTTTTCATAGAAACACCGCAAAAGATTAGTAATTTAGCGACGTTTTTACAAAAACGCCGCAATAGGTTTCACATATAACGGTGTTTTGCTAACAAACGCCGCAAATGATGCGTACTTTAGTGGCGTTTTGACAAAAAATGCCGCAAATGTTTTTAACATTAGTTGCGTTTTTAATTTAAAACGCCGCAATTGGTTACCCTTTAGTGGTGTTTGTATTGTTAAACGCCGCAAAGTCCATTTTAATTCTCCTCTAGCCCTAGCCTTTTTTCCATCACTATTATCCGTTC